AAGATGTCAATTCAGGTAACTAGGACGGGTTCGGTGAGGTCGATCGGATACAAATCGAGTACATTTAAAATATGACTGATGCTATATTATTATGTCCAATTGTCCATACAAATCGAAATTTAAATCGGATTTTATTCAGGTTAATTTAGAATTGGGTCAGCTTAGGGTCTGTTCTCTTCAGCTTATTTTCAGTTCAGTTTAGTTTAGCTCCAATAAGTTCAACTCAGTTCAGTTTTTATTTTAATTACCTTCTCTCATAAAATATTTAGTTCAGTTCAATTATATTCAGTTCAGCTCCAATAAGTTCGATTCAGCTCAGTTTAGTTAATAAGAATAGGCCTAAGTTGTCCTAAGGGATGTTAGTGGGGCGGGTCAAGTAGGAGACTTGCCCTAGTATGGCGAGGATGGGTCTCAGTTTGGCGGGTGGTGGGGCGGGGATGGGGATAAAAACCATACCCGCCATGGGTGATGGGGCGGGGGTGGATTTTAAGTTATCCCCGCCCCATCGTCACCTCATACTCACATCTATATATTTTTAAAAGCAAAATTATACACTTTTATACTATTTTATAAAATAATTACGTGAAATAAAATATTAATTGTAATACTTTAATTTGTAATACACTTATTTTATAAACAAAAATGTGTGTAATATTAAGAATGTTTATTATTATTATTATTATTATTATTATTATTATTATTATTATTATTATTATTATTATTATTATAATTATTATTATAATCCATATTAATTATGTAAGATTGTGTATTTGAGAGACGGAGATTGGGCGAGTCTTGGGTGGGGATTACGCAGGTCTTTAGTGGGGATTAGGTGGGGATGGATATCCAAGTGGGGGTGGAGAGATGATTTTGGAGTTGTATTCGCCGGGGTGGGGATGAGGATGAATATTGGACCCGCCGCGGGGATGGGAATGTGGATGGAATGAGAATGAAAATGTTAAGTGGGGATGGAGATGGGAAGACCAACATCCGCCCCAACCCGCCTCGATGATATCCCGAGTTGTCCCCTTATGAGTTATGACAATACCTAAATTTGTTGTCAAATCTAATTTTCTTTAATAACATTCATAAATGCATACGTACACTCTAGCCTAGGTGGTCACCATTGTATAAGCAACGAGAAAAAAATTGGCGAATTGGGATCGACGAAATGGCGGTTTCAATTGCTTACTCTTCTTCAACCACATTCACTATCTCTCCTTTTCAATTTAAATCCAAAACCTTTCTTTCACAAATTAATCATAATTTCATTTACCCCCCAAAATCCTGCATTTTCTCTAAATTATCAACAAAATCCCACCATTTTTCTCTCCAAAATGGCAAGAAATTCAGCCCCCATTTCGTTCCCAAGGCTTCTGCTTCATCTTCTGGTATAATTTTTATGCTTAATTGGCTATTTTTTAGCTTTATGCTTTCTTGAATTTCTTCATAGATATTGAATAGTACTGATTTTAATGCTGTTAGTTGAGTTATCAACAAATGCAGTGTTTCAATTTTAGTGTCTATTTATCGTATTGTTAATCTAGTTGGTTTATTTTGAAATTCCTTTGAATTTTGTGTATTGATTAAAAGAGAGATACTAAAAGAAATTTTGCTGAATTGTGAAATTTTTGGTATTTGAAATGTTGTTAATTGTTGTGCCAAGTTTATGAATTAGCATTACATAGAAGGTTGTTGATTAAGTTATAAACTAGTCCTTGGTGAATTTTCATGAACTTCCCTTGTCTTCCCTTGTTGATTAAAGCACTACTCATTAATTTCTCCATTTCTTTTTGTTTGTCTTAATTAGAATATTCCATTTGTAAAGAGACAAAAGATAATGAGTATTCATCGATGGATAAGAAAGAAAACATATTCATGTGTGATCTTGTTTGATTTGTCTTGATGTGAAGTTTCAAAACATTAATTTTTAAAACAAAGTTCAACTTATAGTGCTCAAAGTGTGCATTAGAAATTGTGCAAAAAGTCAAATGGGACAAGCAAAATAGAAGGGCGGGAGTTTATTTTAAGTATGAATGATGAACCTTTGATTAATATATTTGTCAAATCAAACGTATATTAATCAAAGGTGAAGCAGAGAAAACTACTCCGTTTCGTGTTATACAGCTTCTATTGCTCATCTGACTTGCTCTTATGTTTGAAACTACCATGCAGTTGCGAATGCAGAGTATGCAGAGGAACCTGCAACCCATGTGAAATTCCCTAAGTCTTTAAATATCCCTGGTTGTTCGACTTCATTGTCTTTGGTTGGAACTGGTATGCTGAGTTTTTAATATTTCATTTGCTATATCAAAATGAACATTACATGATAAATGCTAATTCTTGGAACATCTATTCTTCTCAATTCCCATTATCTGATTGATTCTCCATCTATATCAAAATGAACATTACATGATAAATGCTAATTCTTGGAACATCTATTCTTCTCAATTCCCATTCTCTGATTGATTCTCCATCTAGGAGACAACACATGAAGCAGTGAATTTAAAGCTGCCTCCTACCAACCAGTACATTGTGAATCTTACATTAGCATAACTCACAAGGGCAGTGCTTTGTTTATATCTTATTTTGAAGATGAGCAATGGAAGACCTAGCATCTGTTATAGCTTTCTACCGGTAACAATGTGGGTCTGACATTAAACATAATGTTCATGGCACGGTGCTTTTTCTTCATTCTGATTTCAAAGAAGACCCATAGAAGACCTAGTAACTGTGTATAATTTCTAACCATATGTTAAACGTCTTATTAAGCAAAATTTTATTTTATAATTTCTGTAGAAGGTAGATTACATGTTGGATTGCTTGAAGCCTTTAATAATTTCTTATAATCGAAAATCAAATTTTTATTCTTCTAAATTACAATTGTAGTACAGGTATGTAAGCAGACTAATCTTAAGTTGACCTACTGTAAAACCTGAATCCAATCTGCCGTTGAATCTAGATGTGCTCATTTGAAAAGGACTATGAATTTAACACATATCCATTCAAACCTTAATCCCAAATTTCAGAATTTGAAACTGACCTGATACATTCATCTGCCAGATACTGGACTTTTGAAGACTGCTAATGCACAACATTGTAGTTGCTAGCTGGTAACATGTATAGGTTAATCTCACTGAGATAATGATAGAGATCAATTCACTAAATTAATCCAGTTACTTACTACTGAAAAATTGGCAATTGAATTCCCAGAACAATAGCTAAAAGGCAAATCTATTATTTCTTTCTAAGCTACTAGCCCTTTGTTCATCACTTGATTTTGTTTTTAACGATTGTGTAGAATATAATGTCATCCTACTGTTGTAGTGAATAGCTGTCTCTTGTAGCAATTATGTTACTCTGTATCATACATAGCATTCTCTCTAGTACAGAGGACTACAGACTGCTTTTTTGTCCAGTTCTTTTTAATGCAAGTTGAGATTCCTCTCTATCAAAAATTAATTGTTATTTGTTAAGATAATAGAATAAGATCTGTCTGTGCGCTTCGGCTGGTTTTGAGTTTTATCAACTTTATTAAGTAAGCCAATGTCATTTAATACTTTCCTATTTTTCTTTTTGGTGAGATGATCAACATTGTCGATTCTTTTGTTTGCAATGAAATTCAGGCTACAGGGAAAAAGTTTTTGCAATTATTGGAGTCAAAGTGTATGCAGCAGGACTTTATATGAATCCATCTATGCCGAATGAATTGAGTCCTTGGAAGGGAAAGTCAAAACCTGAAGTTGAACAGGATCCGGCCTTGTTCCAATCTATATACCAATGTAATGAAATCAATTGTAGATTGTATACTAATGAGAGGGGGTTGCACAAGGTCCAATTCTAATTTTAATTATCTTATGTACAGCATCTTTGGAGAAATCATTGCAAATTGCTTTAGTAAGAGATGTCGATGGAAAAACATTTTGGGATGCTTTGGATGAAGCTGTTTCTCCAAGAATAATGAAACCGACTCCTGTTGATGAATCAGCTCTTTCAACTTTCCGTAGTATATTCCAAGCGCTGTCTCTTAAAAAAGGCACTTTGATTCTTCTAACTTGGCTTGAGCCTTCCAAGATGCTGGTAAGTATATCTGTTGTTCTTTGTGAAAAGAAGTTTCCCCTCGTTGTTTCTGTTGAGGGTTGCTGAAAAGGTTGGGTTTTATTTGATTAACAGGTGTCTGTGTCACTGAATGGGGTACCTACAAAAGTAGATGCCACAATTGAGTCGATGAATGTCACAAAAGCCCTTTTTGATGTGTTCTTTGGAGAATCTCCAGTTTCTCCTACCTTAAAGTCTTCTGCTGCTAGTGGTTTGGCAACCACCTTGTAGTAACTGCACTGAGAAAGGTCTAGTACTCTAGCCGAAACCATGATTGTAAAATTTCTGAGCAAGGGTATGTCTCAAGTGATAACCGCATGCTGTTGTGTAAAATCATTATTTTAGTATTTGTTCATTAACAGGTTAGTCCAAATTCAGCGATCATCACTGAGCTTTGATAATCTTGTGCTCTTGAAACCCTTGATTTAGAGATTATTAGATCTCCTGATGTTGGTTTTGTTTTGTTTATTGTCTTTATTCAATAGATTTCCAAGCAGATGATTCATTTATCTTGATTTCCATATCCATTTTTCTGTTTATCTCCTTCATTATAAACATTGGTCCACGGTATAGAAAATTAATATGCATGCTTTGATATTAAATGAATTTGATCCTTGTTTACTAATTGATTTCAATTGAGATCGAGATGTTATTCACAATATGTGTTTGATCACCTGCTGCTTGATCTTGTTTCAACTTTCAACTACAATGTACCGTTTCTACATAATTATAACCTTGTGGTGGCTACACATTTCTCTGTGACAGGCTACACTTCATGTTTCTTAAAAATCCTTGTATCATTTCTGTGGCGCCTGTTGCTCAAAAACTGTGCTCTATGGCCATAAAATCCAACTTCTATCCTACTTCGTATATTAATCTTTTATATGACGAGATTGAACCTGTACGAAGTGATGATTGGACGTTTATTGTCTACTTCTGCAAATAACTGATACTGGATACTACAAATGCTCGACACTCATTTCTATTGCTTTTATACATGAGTATCTGATGAAACATCTGAAATCTTTCTGTCTGGTTTTGCTTTTTCTAGCATTTTGACAACTTCAGCCATATTCGGTCTCTTTAATGGCTCTGACTCTAAGCACATTAATGCAATGCTGAAAACGGAATTCACTTCGTCGATGGAGCAGGACTCCAAGCTAATGTCTAGCACTTGCTCTTCTCTCTTTTCCTGGACAACTGCTTTTACCTGCTCATCAGTTAACAAATTATCGATCAGCTGCTTCTAGCATAAGCAGACTAAAACTCACCTTCTGTCATGTATGTAATCTTCGTTTTTAGCTCTTTATGTGATCTTATCAAGCTTATCATTGTGCAGAGAATTATTGATGTGAGTTGCTACCACAAATACTGACATGACAACAGAAAGTAGTGCTATGGAGTATTTGTGGCTGTAAATTATGCTTTAGAGTTATGATGTTATTTTAGCTTAGATTACTTCATATTGGAGTGAATTAAAGCCAAAACAAACATAGAATTGAAGGCTTACCCAGGTGACCAGCTTTGTTCCTTCCTCAACAAACGCTTCATCCATGGGCTTTTTTCCTGTCAAAAGCTCCAACAACACAACACCAAAGCTATAAACATCCCCTTTTGCTGTTGCTTTCCCTGTATCAAAGTATTCTGTGGAAATATTTCAAAGTATTTTGATCAACATATGACTCTTTCCAAAATTTAGCAAAAGGAAGTACCCCAAAAGGTTTGAGTACCTGGGGCCAAATAGCCAAAAGTTCCAGCAACAATGGTGGATACATGAGTCTTATTGGGTTCCATGAAAGTAGCTAGCCCAAAGTCAGAAACCTGAGCCTCAAAATTTTCGTTCAGCAAGATGTTGCTCGATTTTATATCTCTGTGGATTATGTGAGGAATACAGTCATGGTGAAGGTATGCTATTCCTCTTGCTGCTCCTAATGCTATTTTGTATCTTGATGACCAGTCTAAAAGCTTCTTATTTTTGAATCTACCTATATTAAAAATACAATAGCATAGACAGTTATTCTTCAATTTGAGATGTTTGCTATCAACATGAGTTAGTATCTTCTAATTTTGAAGTGATGTTTTCAAAATTTTATTTTAAAAATCACTGTCAAGTAAAAAATGTTTCTAAAGTCTGCCTCGCATATTCCAAAAAATTCAAACTGATAAATAAAATTGAAGCAAAACGCGTAATTTAAGTTGGTTATGAACATACCATGTAGATATGCATCCAGACTTCCATTGGGCATTAGCTCATATATGAGAAGATTATATTGAGGTGAAGTGTAATATCCATAGAGAGTAACAATGTTTCTGTGCTTTATATCACCCATTGCCTCTAATTCTCTCTCGAAACCACGGTCTCGGTCTACACTTCCCCTGTTAAGCCTCTTTACTGCAAATAATCTTTCTTCATTCATGCTTAGTTTATACACAGTCCCGTAACCTCCAGAGCCAATAATATCCTTGTTGCTTAACTTGAGCGCCTTCTTTAACAATGCATCTGCCTTTAGTGATTTTGTACTTGAAGGCCTGAACATCACCATTTTTCCACCTGTTTTTTGACTGTCTTGTAAGATGTTTATCAGAAAAAGTCAAGATCATTTGTTTTCAAAGTTCAGATCGTACCTGAGTAGCTGTCTTGAACTGATATATGCTTTCGCTTCCATTTCTTGTAGAGAAGAATAGATATTATGATTTTCGAAGTTACAAATGCAAGACAACTTATTGTAATGTACAGGGTTATTGTTTTTGCATTGTTCATTTGAAAACCTATAAACAGTACAAGTTTGAGAAGTCAAAAAACTAATATTCTGATGAGAATTTGCTACAGTCAGATCTGAAGATTATTTCAGAAAGTTTCTAATGAAGTATCAGACTGCAATTCAAATATGAACACAAAATTGAATCATTGAATTTGTAAAATGCTGTTGGTTCCCGATATCATTGGAAAGCCGAAGTTTGTTCTGACATGAACATCATTTTGTTCTGAGATATGTGAACATCAGTCGGGTTACTATGTGACATGCCAGAACAGTATGCATATCTCGAGATTAACCCAGAACTCGAATGTTTTGCCTAAAAGAGGGAACTGGGGTAAGGATGTAAGTAGAAAAATGTTACCTGGTCCGTCAGCTTGTATAAACCAGCTATGAAACTGTTTGAACACCAAAACTATCAGGAAGGCGCTGCACGTATCACGTTGGGCTAGATTGTTGCTGCTGCTGAATATCGATGAGTAGAGAAGATAAAGAGGAAGAATGGCACCTGATTTCTTCCGTAATGTGTATCTTTTTGAGAAAGAAAAAGTGGTGGATAAAACAAAAGAGAATGTGATTGGGTTTGATTTGTCATGAGTTTGATTAATTTTGGTACATCACATGAAGTGTAACTGTACGTAGGGAATATAACAGCAGGGTGCAGTACCTTGTGTTTGTCCTTTCGGCTTTTGTTGACATTATAGTCACTTTCACTTTGTTGATCCATCACCTGCATTTCATGATTGTCATAACTCAATACTCCGTATTTCAGATTTGCCCGTAGGGGATTGGTATAGAGTACTTTCAAAGTATAATCAGTTGTATCTTATATTGTAATTGATTTTGCAAAGGAAAAATGGAAATAAATTATCCCACCTTTGCCCGAGTTGAAAATTACCAAACCCACCTTTTGATATTTACGAGGCAAACCCACCTTTGTATGCCATCTTTTTTTAATGAACCTTGACCCGTTGGTGATCGAATTTAGTAGGTTGTATGCCACGTGTCGTATCTTAATTGGTGCATTTCATTTAATAAAAAAAAAGTAATAAAAAAATATAAAAAAAAACTCCAACCACCAACCCAACATCGTGAAACTCAAGCCCTTACCCCATCCACCACCAAAACCGGTCGACCACCCTCCTTAACCTCCGAAAACGGTCGGCCAGCCCTGCCCACCAGGGAAATCCTGGACCTTCGCAGGTTTCGGCGGTTTTTAAGGTGTTAAAGGGAGATTTCGAGGTGGTTAGGGAGGTTTGGTGGGTCTTTGGGGTGGTTAGGGAGGTTTGGTGGGGTCTTTAGGGAGGTTTGGTGGGGTCTTTGGGGTGGTTAGGGAGGTTGGGTGGCGTTTTCCGGTGATGGGATGGAGGTTTTGGGGGTTTCCAGTGATTAGAGAGGGGTTTTCGTCAGTTGTGATGGTTTTAAGGTGGCGACTGTGGTGGTTTATGGTGGTTTCGAGGGAAGGATATGTCAAGGGTGAATTCCGGGGTGGCTTTTGGTATAAGGGAGTTCCTGATGGCTGTTTTCGGGGGTAGGCGGCTGGTCGGTTTTCGCTGGGGCTAGGATAAGGGTTAGGATTTCGTGGTAGCTTGGGGGATGGCGGGTGGGTGGTGGGTTTTTTTTTTCCTTTTTTCTTTTTTTTTTTAATTTTATATTTTTACATATTTTTGTTTTTGTTTTTAACTTTTTTATTTGGACCAATTATTGAGTGACACGTGGCTTTAAAAAAAATAAAAATAAAACATTTTAACTTGTTTAACAGGTTATAGGTAAAAATGTTGGGGTTTGGTGAGTCCGACTCACTGCGGAAACAAACCCAAAACAAGACCGCACTCCCAATAAATAAAACCATAAAGCATAATTAACTTAATGAGAAGATGAGGATAGCAATTATACCTTTGACGAGTGTTTCGCCCGACCTCAAGGGGCTCTTACTTCGAAAGCAAGTCTCGAAAGTACGACGACCTCCAACAGAAGTCCACACACAACCCGACCACCGACAAGGATCTAATGTCTTGGAGTTAGCAAGGCCCGACCTAAACCCAAGTAATTATGAGTTCAAAGGTTTTCACAATGGTGATGCCTTTTTCAACTCTTACTCAAGTGAACAATCTCAAGCCATGCCTTGGCTATTTATATGTAAAGCTTCCTTGTGAATTCCACTCATCTTTCAATGTGGGACTTTTTCAAAAAAAGATCTCACATGGAAAGATTGATGAATTCAACCCTTAGTTAAATAAACCAAGGAACAAGTGTCACATGGTTAGGTGAGGACCACTTTCTCACACTAGTAGAAAATACTTGATGGGAAGCCCCAAATTCCAAGCGGTTTTAAAAATCCGCTTGTCATTTACTATTTTTTTTTAAAAAAAACCCTCTAATATTGAATGGCAAGCGGTTTTGGCGCAAACCGCTTAAACCTCGAGTTGACTTCGAATTTCATCTCAAATTTGGTTTAATAAGGCCAAATTCGACTATGAAAAGTCTAGATCTAGACTTTTCATGGTCGAATTTGACCTTAATACCATCAACTTGTTTAGCCATAAGATTGTGACGGTGGATATCGTGGTGGTGGGCTAAAGCTTAACGGTGGAGGTCATAGTGGTGACGATTGGTGTCGGTTGAATGTTTGGGAAATTTTCGACCTATTTCTTTGAAGTGTGTCTGATTTCTGGCGATAAAAGTCAGATAATAAAGGAGGAGAGGAGGAATGATGGAGGAGAAGAGAAATGGGGAAAAGGAAAGAATGAAAGATGAATACAGACCAACGTGAGAAGAGAGAGAGGAGAGAGAAAGAGAAAAAAGAAAAGAGTTGAAAAGGAATTAGGGTTAGGGTTAGTGGGCTTTTATACCCCATTTTTTTAGTAAAAAGAAAAAGAAAAAAACTACTTACGACTGTTGAAGACGGTCGCAAGTTTGCGACTGTGTGTTAAAACGGTCATAATCTACGACCGTTTTAGGCGGCCACAACTACTTTATTTTTAGTTTTAAATAATTTTCACATGTATTTATTAAAAAAGAATTATTTAAATATACTTGTGACGGTGTAAATGGAAAAAAAAAACGGTCGCAAAATTGTGACCGCCTTTAAAACGATCGTGAAATTGCGACCACCTTTGAAACGGTAGCAGATTTCTAGTTTTGCGACCGTTTTATTGACGATCGTAAAAAAATGGTCGCAATTTGACCAAATTCTAGTAGTGATCCATTTTCTCGGATAGACAAAAACAAAGAAAAAATTGCACAAGTATTAAAAATATTGTTAACACTAAAATGTTTTGTCTGAATAAAAAAAGGGCAAGAAATCATCTTAGAAATCCGAAGATAGAGCCTTCAGATTTCTTGGGGGTAACAAGTGTGCAAGTACAAATTATCTTCAGCTAAAAATTTCCCAAGCCCAAGCTTTCTACTTAGAATTTTTTTGCAAATGATCGAAATATCGGAAAGGCAAAATACACAAATTCTAAGGCAAGGAAATGGAAAGAAAGGCAATAGATTCATGAGAAATATGCTCATATTCCGAGCTAAATCAAGTTAAATTGTTCATCAAATGAAAATAAGTATCGGCAATCGCTCACAAGCGGAAAATCACAGCTGCCGAATTACGTACAAGACAAAAACAAATAAAAGTTTGTACATCAAGGCAAGTTAAAGCAAAAACAGACAAGGAAAAAAATATTCAAAAGCAGCAAGTTAAAAGATTAAGCATAAGATGATCCGCAAGATTCTGAAGACGAATGCCCGAGTTCCTAGGCTTCAACTGATTGATCAGGCTGATCGGTAGTGCTGGAACCTTTACCAACTTTGGTCCCGGCTACAAAGGAGGTAGGCTTAGTGTAGACACCCATTTGTGTCTCCCCAGAACCAAACCCAGTGATGAGTACCTTTCACGTCGAATCATAATCGAATGAAGTGAAAGTGTGGAAAGTCTAGTGTTGCGGATAGTTTTAATTCTTTTCTCTTCTCTTTGTTTTTTAAAACTTATTTTAAGAAAACAGCCAATCCAGTTTGGTTGGTCCATGATATGGGTCCAATAATAGAGTAGTTGGATAGGGCTTGACAAGACCTTTCCAACGATATATTATAAGCCCAATTCCGATGAATATTGAGGAAATTATGGCCAATTTCCTAAACTGGGCCCGGTTTGAGCCTTATATGCGGCCCAATGATCTAGAGGAGGGCCTAATATGATTTATCATTCCTAATGCAATTCGGAATGGTTTTAGTCTTCTAGATTCTTCTAGAAGGTTCTTTTCATTCTTAATTCAATTAGCATTGATAAATTGACTTTTGTTGACTTTTCAGAGTTTTAATTAAAATCAAAAAGCATTTTCGAGGAAAATACACGATTTTATCTTCCAGTACGGCAAACTTATTTGATTTTCGAAAACGCGTCAAAAACAGGCCTGGCGCCAGGCATTGGCGCCTGGAACCAGGCCTGGCGCCAACCATTGGCGCCTGGTGCTAGCCATTGGCGCCTGGCGCCAATAAGCTGGTGTTGGCGCCAGCTCTGTTTTGCGTGCGCCAATCTCGTTTGACGTGCGCCAAGTGCTCTGTTTTGATATTTTTATCTTTTTTGGCTGATTTCTCTATAACTAACGTATTAAAAACTTCGTTTTCATTCACCTACATTCAGTGCTTTAATGGTTTTAATTGATATTATGATGTAGAAATCATATTCAATCATGTTTATATTGTTATTATGATATTCCTAGTATCATGTCTAGGGTAGTTTTAATATTAAATATGATTGTTACGATGCCTTATATGTTCTTCCTAATATTTATGATTGTTAGCGTCATGTTAGGGTTAAAGATTTGATTTTTGTTGCTTAGTGACATGCTAGGGTTTGTTATTAATCTTGTTAGTATCATGTCTAGGATCTTGCTATTATTATTATGCTTTAATATTAACATGAACATGATTATGATTATAATTGTTATAATTTATGATTATTATTATTATTTTGATGATGATTATTTTATTTATGATGATTATAATTTTATTATCATGACATTCATGATTATTATTATGTTTCTTGATTTTTATTGTTATTGCTTGACCACGTCTTTTATGCATGTTTAAAGGGAATTGGTACTTGTAATCACGCTTAATAAGGTATTAATAACCTTGTTTAGGGTTAATTTGATTACAATTTCAAGTGATCACCAATAGTAGCTTATATGTGCATTTATATTCAACCAACATAGATAAACAGGTTTAGGGTTAAACCTATTGTTTGCATGTTAATTAAAAAGCGCACATGAATACGATCATAATAAAGTAGAGGCCTATTATTAGGGCAGGTTCAATCTCTTTTAGGTTGGATTTGTACCTTCATCCCCGAACCCTTATTTGGTTCTAGAACTTATGGAGTTGACGATCTCTTGGATCGTTAAGGGGTGTAACCTTCACCTCGTGACCGGTTTACAAGTTCCTTAAAAAACTTGTTGGCGACTCTTTTGCTCTATCTTCTTCCCTTTTGGACGCCACCGTACTTTAGTGTATGATCACAGTGGGGTTCAACCTAGGGGTTTAATGCTTGAAATTATTCCCTACTGTTTTTGGCGACTCCACTGGGGAGGATTTCTATTTTAATTCCTAAATTTGTTTTGGCAATGATTTAGAATGAGTGGATGAGACTCGAAACGTTCTAAGTATTTCATGTGTGTAATTTTGATTAACATTATTGTCATATGCATAAAAAAGATCTCATTGGAAAGACCATCCGTAATGAGTTAAAAACATAGGATTTTACACGTAGGAAACTTGAGAAATATCTTTCACAACTAACATCGAAATAACACCGCGCGAAACTGGAAAATTTTATCGAGCACAGAAAGCTGCTGAGGCATGTGAGAAGTAGTGCCAGGGGCCAAAGCATTGGCGCCAATATTTTAACCGTAGCGCCAGACGCCAGCATTGGCGCCAGGCGCTACAGCTAAAAGCTGGCGCCAGTCTCTGATTGCTGGCGCCAATTTCCCCCAATACCGAGCCAGAATTATGCGTTCTAATTTCTACCGGTTTTTCGTATTGTTTGCTCGATCCTACTTCCTGATTGAATTTTTTCTTACTTTTCTGAAACCCATATGTGTTCTACATATGGACATAACCCTCTAGGAATTCATGCTCCATCTACCCGATTGAACGCTCCGTGCAACAAAGGGTACATCCGAGA